CCATGCTTATGTTTTGTGATTGGGATGATGAGAGAGAAATTGTGACCGAGAAAAGTAGAAGCATCAGAAAGGATTCCATTGATGGAGTAGAAATGCGGCCAAGAAGGTTGTTTCTTGTGTAAAGCTTGATCCAGGAGAAAGTTGTGAGGGAATGAATTAGAGTGAAGGTAGAGTGATATTCTATGTCAATACACTTGACTAAACTAACTGGTGATCTTAAATGCCAAGAAAAAGACTTATCGAGGACAAAAACGTATGGAAAATGGGTTTGATGGCTTACTAGAAGAAGAAGAGAGAGTGGAGGGGGAGAAAGCGGGAGGACGAGAGAAGGAAAGGGGAGTACAGCGACCTTAATAGTGAGAGCAGGAAGAAGAGAGCGAGAGGGAGGGTAGAGAGAGAAAGGTGAGAAAGAGTACGAATGAGGGGACAGAAAGAGAAAGAGTTACTTAAAAAAAGTACTTTTTTCAATAAAGAGAGGGAGGGATTCAAATTCCATCTTGAGATTTGGATCGAAATCTAACGGTGGTCTTTTGGGGTCCCATTCTACCAACTGCGGCGGGGTCCCATAAGATCATTACTCAAAGTTAAAATCCAGTTCATAACAATCATTTCATCGGCTTCCCAATCTGCACAAGATGAGTTTTTTGCATCTAGTTTCACTATACGACCATTAGTGGGAATCCAATTCAATCTTTAGTCGTTCTAGAAAGAATTAAACCCTCATGACTGATTGTCTCGAATGGAATCTGAAGCTTTTAAGAAAAAAGTTCTAACACTTGTTCAACGTTTGGAAGACCTTGAGTGATATCACCAGAATCTGAATGTGCAAATGTCATGGCAGGAGTAGGGTCGGTCATCCAACATTTTCCTACCCCGAAGGAATAACCTTAAATATCTTGCCCATCCAGATAGATTGTGCAGTGATTTAAAGTCCAGGGTATTCCATGCTTCATGTTATCCGTGACATTGTTATTTATTCAAGGCCAATGTTCAAAAACAAGGAGGCGGCTGCCTAGGTGGTTTGGTCTCTAGGCCGCCTAGGTGCAAAGGTGAGTGCCCAGAGACAAAGGCAAGTGCAGATTCTTGCTGATTATTGGCCTCCCCACACCTACCCCCATTTCATTCTATGTAGAAATGACTTTTTTTTACTCAATAAGTAAGTTTTGTATATAATATATTGTTCAAAACGCAGAAGTCAGAAGTACAGATCAAACATAAACATTTACGACTTTAGACTGTAAATTACAAAGTTCAAACTCAAAAGCAACATAAAAAAAACTAAAAAAAGGGGTAAAAAAACAATATTCATTCGATTTCATTCGATTTAGGGCCAATGGACTTTTTTATTGAATTACTTTCCAAAAAGCCCAAACTACATGTCAAAATGGGAAAATAATAATGTAAATAGTCAATAACATATCAAATATATACCATAACATATTACAAAAAAAAAACAAATAGCAAACAATAATATCAGAAGACATTGACACATTGTGAAAAAAACAAATACATAACCTAATAAAAACTATTCAAATATAACAACCTTCTTGAAATGGAATCGATATCGGGCCAACCTAAATCTTTTGGTTCCAAATCTCCTCTTTTACAACCACTAAAAGCCTCAAAAAGATTGGGGATGAATATCCTTTAATTTCGTCACGAGGAGGTCTAAAAACTGCGATCTCTATACAAATCTTCAAAATCTTGTTTCTTCAGGTTTATTCTCACTCTAAACTTCACTAACAATGTTTTTGGGAGCAAGAATGACCCCCAAAACCCTTTTCCCCCTTTTTCTAGGGGGTAAAATGATGATTTTATCCATTGCCCAAGTGTTTTTTTTTGTCATTGGGCGAGGCAACGCCTAGGCGGGTGCCTTGAAGGACCTGCCTTAAGCAGGATGCCTAGTCCACAACTAGGGACTAGACATTTTTGAAAAAAACACCGCCTAGGCGGTCGCTTCGGCAAGGTAGCCATTTTTTCATTCATTTTTCAAGGCAATAAACAGGTTACCACCTTTGTTGAAATCAGGATACACCCTCAGATTTCTATCCAAGTACTTTGTAAACATCGAAAGCACTACACAGTGCATGAGCCAGTCGGCTACACTATCGAGACTGCAAATTTCAGAGGTAAAAAGACCTTAATTATATTTGATACACAACAAACAGCAGCAAAGAAAATTAAGATATAAAGTGGCTTCAAGTTTCACCATTCAATACACATCAAATAGTTTTATCAAATCCCCTTCACCAAGATACTTATTGACTCTATGGAAACCTGCCAAGCCTTATCCTTTATGGATGGCGATTTCGGGTACAATCACATAAGGATGGCTCCCGAAGAAGGAGAAGCTACGGCATTCTTAACTCCCAAGGGATTCTACTGCTACACAGTAATATCGTTCGGGCTCAAGAATGCAGCAACCGACCACCCTCATATTTCGATCCAAGTACTTTGTAAACATCGAAAGCACTACACAGTGCATGAGCCAGTCGGTTACACAATTGAGGCTGCAAGTTTAAGAGATGAAAAGGCCTTAAATATATTTGATACACATCAACCAGCAACAAAGAAAATTAAGACAAAAGTGGCTTCAAGTTTCACCATCCGATACAATTTATGCAACTTGCTTGATCATCAAATCACCCATCAATGGGGAGAGCACCTTAAAAAATTGGCACTTTTCCCCAAAAACCAGATCAGATTAAGAATAAATCCTAGAAAATGACACTTCAGAAAAATGAAAATAAAAATATCTTCAACATAATCCATTTAAAAAAAAACTATTAAGGTTTCTCCCTGTTGTACATTCTCCAATGGTCTAGCCATGCTGCTGAAACCCGCAGTTATATGGAAAGAGTTTCAAATCTAGACTTTTTACTTTTTCGAATTTGAAACTCATTACGATACCCAGTTGAAGCGAAGGGAAAGAGAAGGAAGAAGATGAGGAAGAAGGAAATAAAATCTAGATTTATGTGAAGGGAAAGAGGAAGAAGATCTTAAGAAAAGGAAGTGGGTGCATAAGATAAAGGAGATGAGAGAGTGTGTATGTGTGTGTGTGAGAGAGAGAGAGGTGCGTGAGAGAAATTGAAGAGGAAAAAAGTTGTGTGATACCCCTTTTCGGATCAGTCACATGCATTTATTGTATTGTTATAAAAAATTACAATAAATGCCCTTATGTAACCAAATAACTCGCACCTACCTTATTAAATAAGATATTCCATTTATATCTTAAACTTACTACTGCACTTTCAGTGGAACCAAACCTGCTCAAAGAACGTGCTCAAGCCCAATACTCCAACCTACACTGGGAGTATTGAAAAAGCACTACTACTTGTACAAAAATACAGGGGTACGATAAATAACCAACAGCTAATGGCCTTTAAATAGCCACAAGTCCGCAAAGATGACCTGCCATTTAATGGATAAAATAACTTCCTAGGAGAAAATCTAATAAAGAAAGCTTACCCAAAAATGGTGCAACAGAACTGGATGACTGTAAACACCCCAGGTCAGTCCTGATTAATTTAAGCCCGATTATTTTGAGCAAAGGTACAGGTATTTGATCACCGTTAAAGGGACCTAAGGTATTGATCACTACAAGGGATCTAGGAAAGAAAAGAAACAAAGGCTGCAAGAGACAGACAAAATAAATATAAACGTTTGTAGGCCTGGATCTCTAGAAGATGTACCTGTCGGTATCCATCACTGCAAGCCTTACTCTACCACCATGTAAAGCTTGTGGGCTTGGATCTCTACGAAAGAAGAGAAACAAAGGCTGCAAGAGTGAAAAGGGAAAACAAGAAAGAGATAGAGAGAGAGAGAGAGAGAGAGATTCAATCCTGAAATAAAGATTATTAGCGACATCAATAGAAGGGATGTCACCATCAATAGAGGGGATGAAACCAGATTATAAATAGCATGCTAACAAAAGATTAGAAAGCCACTAGAATTGTGAAAAACGAAAAAAGAAAAATTAGAGAGATGGAAAATACGTTGTGGTATATTGGGAATCTAGAGCAGGCTATCAGTGCATATAGGGAAGTGTTCAAAGGGAAGAGCTAAGAAAATAAAAGTCACCAGGTAAATACTATGGGACCATCAGTCAGTCATACTATCCAAGAGGACAATTAACTACAGCTCAAGGATGTCGTGAGAAAGTTGTTGCAACAGTATATGCTAGACTAACTCACCATCATTCGAGCCTTATCCCAACTAATTGGGGTAGGCCAATATGCCACGCTAAGTATATGATGAAAAGCTGGAGGTGGTGGTAAGAGAGATATAGGGAGGTCTGACAGTCCAAAGGAACAAGATCGTTATGAATGCTATAAATTGCTTAATTTCCTCAAAGTCCACGTGAAAGACAAAAAGTGAACCTCCAAGGGGCTAAGACTGTTAAAGAGTTCTATAAGCACCCAATACTCTGCATGTGAGAGAGGATGCTAACAAGGCAAGGAGAGGCCCTAAACAAATGAACTGCACAATGACAAGGTAAACTATCAGCAGTACTCCATTAAGATACTGGGATTAAGATGACATAACACGGAAAACCTCTTTACTAGATGAAATTGAAAGGGAAACCCGCCAGTAAAGCATATCGAAAGGGCAAAAAGAAAATGAGATACTGCAATCTGGAGAAGAAATTCATTAATATTTGCAGAATGCAAATAATGCAACAAGACGTGAAATTTATCTAGGAAAGACTAATGGGATGGATGGGAGGAGGAGAATAGAACGATAGGAACATTGAACATGGCTTGTATAACATGGCAAATACAAAACGAAAAGGACTGTCAAATATTTCAGAATGAGTTTAAGGAACCCATTCAAACTATAGTCGCGGATGTCCATAAATTTGTATAGCAGGCTATACACATTATACATTTCTCCAAACACACAGGAATAAACAACTGCTTTATAATTTCAGAAAACGTCAAACACGAGATGCGACCTGAATAACAGAAAGAATCATATGTGAAATGGTGATAAGAAACTACCTGTAAAAACTCCTTCCAACCTGATGGTTCAATCTGTTCAATCCGGTTGACTAAACGAATAGATCTAGCTTTCAACCGCTTAATCTTTTCCTTGGTAAGGTTGGCTGTGTCCATGATCTTTTTAAATTCAGCAAAGCCTTTTGTTCTGGAGATTTGTTTCCTTAACTTCGAAACTTTAGTTCTCTGGTCCTTGTAACTCTCCACAGCCTCATGATACACTTCTGACAGCTTCAGAACCTGATAGTATACAGTCATCTCAAAACATGCCCTACTAATCCTAAATATGATATTACATGCTAATAGGGTTCTAAAAATATTCATCAGCTACGTTACAAAACCCAATGGTACTGGGATGCATGTTAGGATCACAGTAATCAAATTGCAAAGGAAAATGAATCTTCTAGAAACAAATAACCAACCTCATCATCTTCTGAAAGGCTACTTAAAACTGGCACATTTAAACTCCATGACCATGTCTCAAGGGAGCCTTCCATAGACCATAAAGAACCAAATGCTGACTTCGCAAGCTTTTCCCATTGTAATCCTTCTTTCTCAAGAAGTCCCCTCATGATTTCCCTAGGCGATGCATCACCTTGAGACAACGGATTGTCAGGTAAGCCTGCTGTGTATATGGCCTTAATCCAATTCTCAGTGAACATATACGAAGAATTATCTGAACCAAGAGCCACATAATGTGAAGGTTCAACAACATTTGTTCCTTGAAAGTCATCGTCATCACTCAAATCCAACTCTGCATCTGCAATATCAAGGACACCATCTCCACTAATCTGCAATATCAAAATGTGAAAAATTACTTCAAAAGGAATTTAAATGATTGAATGATGAATGGGGGCTCAATGAATAGAAAACGGCACATATTATAATGCACATATAGAATGAAAACATATCAGTAGGCAAAAATTACCAGCAAACATACCCACATAAATAGGAATATTAAAGTAAAAAGTTCATTGACTGCAGGAAGTCCCAAAAAGATGAATATAAACAATTGAAACAAATAACTTTCTACAATGGAAGAAGCATAAAATAGAATCTACAAACCAAACAACACAAAGGTACAATAATCTTACTTTTCAATGATGTTATTAATTTACCAAGGCAGTAAATTGGAGCTAAAATGCATCAGAAAGAAGTAAATATAGGAGGCAGAAACATATCAAAAGATATACGCAAGAAACATGTCCCCTTAATGTTTTTATGGCTGGGTGCAGTACCCCTTTTACGAATTTAATTGTTTTATCAGTTTATAAGAAGAGAGTGAGTATACTAGTACAAATACGAGATGGTAGAAAGGAGAACAAGAAATCTCAAAGAGATGCTGAGAGAGCATCACTAAGGAGGTGGCAACGAGAAACAAATAGCTAAGGAAGACAGAAATGCCCTCCTAGGCCAACCTATAGGACATACTTATTGGCTTCCTTAAGACATGTCAAGAGGACCCAATCAATCAGCAAAGCTAAAACTGAAACAAGGAAAATCCAGCAATGGCATGATAGTTGCTTTCTGGTGGTGCATCTAGTCACAATGAGATGGCCACATTCCACCATCAATGGGAACAAGGACCTACTGATCATGATCCCAATGCCAGTAACCAAACGTATCACCTCCAGCATGATGGCATTAAACAATCCCAATGGATGACAGTCCTGCCAAATCATACCCTCAATCCCCGCTGGGCCTGGATGAACTATTGAGCATCCTTCATGATTGAGCAAGACAATGCACTCAGTATCCTTCCAAAAGACAGTTTTTTATTTTTATTTCATCCAAGAAAGAACCCTCTAGCCCAGCTGTGTCAACGCTTAAATAGAGAATGTCAACATAGAAGAAGAAATTGAAGCCTCAGAAATTCTACTCTTCCAAAAGTTTGAAATATTTTGAGGATAAGACAGAGAAGACAAAGACTAATCACACGATCAGCCAATCCAAAAATGACATGACGAGCCAGTCCACAATGAGAGCAGCCCAAACCAGCAAATTCTTCTGAACTGTGCACAGCCACCAACTAAAGGCTAGTCAATAAAACCTCGGAAAGAACAAAGACTTCCAGCAATAATTCATAATCAACAAGTGAACATATACAACTTGTTTAGTTACAACTTAACATCTACTTGTGTGTACATATAACATGGGATTAGAACTCAAAAGCTACAATTTTAAGACAGCACCAAACAAGCACTGAATACTATATTGCAAGACACTGATGGGCTGACAACTTTTGTGAGCTTTAGTACTTTTATCTTGTTCATATTTATGTCCTTAAAGGACGACGACTTGAACAAACATATCACAATATCAGATAACTAGAAACAAATTTAAACGCATCTTGCAAGAGTGACAGCATAAACAATCTGGTATTTATATCTCAAAAGTTCATCGGCAAAAAGAAAATGCATCCTCAGAACTAGCCCATGACTCACCAAATAGACAAGATTGAGTTCGATATTTCCCTCACACACAGCAGGAACAAGGTGCTGAGATTAGAACTTGAAACCTACCATTTTAGGATGGAGCTTCAAAAAGAAAAAAGGAAAAAAAAAACCAATATTACATAGTCTGGGCAAATTATATTTGCAGGCTCTAGTGCTCTCATCTTGTTCATATTTCTATCATCAAAGGCACCCATTTGAACAAACACTCAGAATATCAGATATAACTCGAAACAAATTAAAATTCATCTTGGAAAAATGGTGGTATAAACAATCAGCTATTTATATATCAAATAATCATAGGCAAGAAGGAAGCGCATCCTCAAAAGAAGCCCAAGACTCACCAAATATTTGGTAGAAGAGACTGAATCGATCTTTCCCAAGTACACAGCAGGAATGAGGTGATGGACAGCATCATTATCTTTATATTGTAAACATATAAAGGGTAACTGCCCGCTTTCCAGTTCAGCCAAAAGTGGCTTCAAGGCTTGCACTCTTTCAAGTTCCATTCTTTTCCGCAATTGAGTCCGGAGTCGTTTTTGTGCCTACTAGAAAAGGACACTACAGTCAAAAGATCAAAATCTGTTTTAAGGATAAGAAACAAGAACAAATTATACAGCAGATGATTATACTAGTCACTCACAGCCTGTTAAGACAAGCAGGTCCTAAAGCAATACATTATAATGCAAGTTCCTTCATGAAAGAAAATGAGCTTGCAAAAATTAAAATCAGAAACAAAAATCGAGTCCAAGTACAATGGAAGAAAGAATAGCTTTTGACCACGATGTTAATTCCAAAACATTAATCATAGTCATAATAGCAGAAAAGAAATTTATTTGTTTGTCATACTAAAAAAGCACATCATCTATACTACAACATGCTAGATGGCATAAAATAGAGGTTGAGCTCCAGAAAATGCTGCACACTAATTAATGTCCAATGGACAATTTCATGTGTGATCACAAAAGAAATTTGATATGGCACCTCCAAAATTACCATGTTAGAAAGTACATGTCATGATAGTATGGACGTGTAGGTGTTTTCTTGCCTGTACCTCCCATCTATGTGTGAGATATTTTGTGTGTAAATACCTATACCTATATCTATATCCACTTCTATATACAAATCCATGCACCAAGTAAAATAATACAAATTATCTATGTAAGTATCATAGGGAATGACGTGGTAGGATATCTGCCAACATATTCAAGTTAGACAGTTACATTGCGAATGTAGCAACACCTCACCATTCCAGACAATTTATTTAAACTAAACAAATAAAATATTTTTTTCTTTTCATAAGAAACATGTAATATTGCCCTCAGTATTCAAGATAATAGCAAGCAAGATAATAGCACGCAAAAGGAAATGACACCACATAGAGAAGATGACAAAGAATAAGGAAGCCAAATGAGGCATTTTGAAAAGAGCAAAGTCAGTGGAAGCAAGACAATGAGCTGAAATGGGATTTCAGATGCCACTACATAGGACTTTTCCACCTTTAGAGCATAGGTGCCCTCTTAAAGAAAGTATGGCATCTAACAACTATGCAATCAAAATATCTGAATTTGGAGGGAGAAGATATTCCCGCACCGCATACTTCATAGTCAGCAATGCCAAAAGTACTAAAGACCACTAACAGCATATCTCCAATTTTCCTTCAATTCAAGTGTCGTAATATAAGAAAATGGAAATTGCCAACCAGGCACATATCAAATTTACCAGTAGAAAAGACAAAAATTTGGAATACCCTTAGTTCTTCCTGCAGTTTAATTATCTCATTGTATGATGACCCAAGCAATTTTTCCCTACTTTTTCTGTCAACAGCTTCATCGCTAACTTCTACAGTTAGCATTTCAATTTCCCCTTCTATCCTGCTAAGCTCTTCTTTTGCAGCCACCATGACATTACTCCCAACATAGTTACCAAAGCTTTGTTCCACTAATTGCCGAGCTTCTTCTAGTGTTCTTCCTGCACGAAAAACCTTCAGAACATCTGCTTCTTTGGATCCGCGAGTAACATTGGCACCCTGTAAAGAATAATTGCAAAACAAAAATAACCTAAAGGTCAAAAGTTTGCCAGGAAGGTGAAAAGCCACAAGATAGCTCAAAGATCCATACTGCCAAAAGATTCAACACCATCCCATATGAAGCAGTAAATTGCGACACAAGAGGTTCTGGACCAGCAAAGAGAAGCTTGCAGCATTCTTCGACTCCTTCAAATGGGGTCTGGATAAGAACAACATGGCCCTGTTTGTCAATACCACGACGACCAGCTCGACCAGCCATTTGCAACAGCTCATTTGAACTTAAGAGGATGCGTCCAGTATCAATCTTTTTACTCAGGGATGCAATAACAGCTGTTCTTGCTGGCATATTGATTCCAGCTGCTAGAGTCTCTGTAGCAAACACAACCTTGATAAGGCCCCTCTGGAAAAGCTCTTCAATAAATGATTTCCATAGAGGCAAGCAACCGGCATGATGAGCTGCAACCCCTCGCATAAGGCCTCTGACAGCCACTTCTCTAATCGCATCTGGGTACTGGGTACGAAACTTCTTCAAAGCCAATCCAACTTCATCCATTTCACAATCATCCAATAGCATACATTCCTCAAGGTATTGAACAGCTGCATCACATCCTTTCCGGCTAAAAATAAACCAAATAGCTGGAAGCATGTCCCTTGCCCTGAGATGCCTCAATGTGTCTCTCACCTGAGGAACCTAAGAACAAGAATAAAGAGTTTGATTAGAACATTAGCTCCGGGAAAATCATCAGAATTCTAATCCATGAACACAAGGTTGAAACCAGCACATAATCTAGATGGCATTCTTTTTTTTAAGAATGTTTAAAATATATCTTTTTTTTGAGAAAGAAGACGACATACTTGTGAGCGACGTATTATATTTATGTCATTCTCTGATAATGATGATTCACCAAAGTCAGTGGGGATGGTACCATAGCTTCGCTCTCTCTCACCCTTTCTAGCTTTCCGCCTTCCCAAACCTTCCTCCCGATAGGACATGGCTCCCAAAGCATAGCGTTGTAGATGAGCAAGTGAGAGCTTCCTGTTTGAAAAAAGCAAGAGAATGCAACATGTTATACAGATCTCAGCTCCATGTTAAGAGAATAGGAAGCAGGGGGTGGGTGTGTGCGTGTGTTTGGGGGTGGGGGGGGGATGCAAAAGCCCCTAAGCTAATTTATATGGCATCAGCGCACGAGCTAAAAACTAAACAAAGGGCCTTTCCACAAGGACACATTTTACCCCAAATTTTCCACGTACACTCTCTTGAGCTCAATGAACAATCTCCAAAAAAAACAAAAAAAAATAAAACAAAAAAACAAGAAAAAGAACCCAGAAAATGAAATTTATGAGAAGAGAGAGCTCAATGAATATCAACCGTCCACTTTAGACCTAAGCCTTTAAGAACTCCAATCAAGTTTCTTTTATTTTATTATTTTTGTTTTTATAGCATTCATCTGATGATAACAGGAAGAACTACAAATTTAGGGCCCAAACACCATTTTTCTTTCCGGACACAGACGGCCTATATTAATTACATTGCCTCACAAAAAACAAACATTTTCTGGGGAACTCTTTTTTTGGATTTCTTATCATAAGCTTATTCATTAGGATGCACATGGTTTTTCTACCGAAATAGGATCAAACAAATTCCCCTAGATAGGTCTTTTAAGGCGTTTTGGGCCCGTGAGTTAATGTTGTGGAAATTAGCTCAAGGGTGTACTTAATTTCACACGTGCGCGCACACACACACACGACTCACACCACACATATGACACACACACATACAGAGTTAGATATACAGGCAAAGCTTGAGGGAATCATCAATTAAAGCATGGCATTATCACAAAATAAATTTACCTCTCAGCAGATGCTACAGAAAATAAACTGAGAAGACAATGAAACCACTGAATCAACAGATAAGGATAACATAAATAATGATATACATCAACAACATCACTTCGAAGCGTGTTGGGAGCAATATTCTTGTAGTTCTGAAATAATAAATGTGAAGTTCAAGCATGTTTTTCCTAATTGGTAAAACTAATTCTGAGCTATTGAAACAGATTATTAAACATTTCAGAGGTGATTTAAGATAATACAAGCAAATTGTGAGCAACATAAACTGAGAGCGAACATAAACAAGGATCACAGCAACTGAATGCCAATTTTAAATCTATATATCTACATCTACAATACGGACAAAAGAAAGAATCTAAGGCATGGTATCAGAACTTCTAAGATGAAGTTTCAAATTGTCAAGTTCGATGACATAAAGCATAGTATCAAAGTTTTAGCAAAAGGAAAGAACTTGAGGCATAATGTCAGATCTTCGAAGATGAAGTTTCGAAATGTCAAGTTCGATGACATATAGCTTAATATCAAAGTTTTAGCCGAAGGAAACAGGTATAGCAATCAAATGTTTCTTCTAGAGGGCCACTTTTGAAAAACCTCAAGAAATAATCATTATTCCATTGGCCCACCGTCGCTCTGAATATGTCTCTGATAGGTTCATGAGTGTGGAGCCACAACAATGATTATCATTCGAACAAAATCTAATAACACAGCTACAACATTATTTCAATTTACTTCACCATTTTGAAATCTTAGAATACTAATTTGTCTGAGATCCCTCAGGTCATATAATTAATTACATTGCCGCACATTGCCACACACGCATGCATGTGGATGCATACTACATATACACATGAATAAATTTTTCCTCTATTTCTTTTTCTTCTAAATGAATAGCTTTCCTTTAAAGCTATCAACCAAAATAAGAAGGCCAGTTCAGGAAGTACAGTTAATTTTCCAGAATAAACATAGAAAAGCATGGAAAAGGATGGATTATCTCAGCTGCCTCTACCACTATATTCCGTTGAAGTGTTAATGTTGATGCATCTGGTAATACACACTAACTTTGTACTTCTCTTCATGAATTCTAGAGACAAAAAACAAAAAAGAGAAAGTAAACTGAAGTAAATCACATACACAGAGAAGAAAAAAAATTTGCCAATATCCCATTAAAACTACAGGAACTGCTCTTACTTGTTCATCTTCGTTCCTTTCTCATCAAGAAGTGGTAACAAGGAATTCTTCAAAGAGAAATGCCAATTCAAGGGAACAGGTCGCTTGGTCGACGTTATCAACTCTGTAGGACCATGAATCTAGGCCACAAAAGAGGCCAAGCATTAGGTTTCCTTTTCCTATGTTACCATCTTTAAAACAGTAAATAAGACAGATAGGGTAAATTGCACTCTCAAAATAGTAAACAGCATTCAGATCGATATTCGAAACACTTAAAAGTGACATGTTACAAGGAAGAGAGATAAAGAAAATGTGCAAAATAACTCATATAACGATCCTGCAGCATATTCCAAAAAACAAAATACTTATGTGGACATTTTTGGAAGGGACTGTTAATATGAAAAAGTAAGAATAATTTGTGCAGGAAATAAATAATTCCTAAGCCTTCCATAGATAATCTTCTATTAGGCAAACCTGTAAACTCGAGTGATTCAATAAACAAAAATTCAAACAAAGCACATGGTAAAAACAATTCAGTGGCAAAGAATACAGACCACCTTGGGATGGGTGGATCCAACATTTAGCTTTACAAGGATCAAACAGAACCATAGTCCCAAGTTCCAACTCTATTTAGAATGCAGCCAACCTATGTGGGCAGCATCGTGCCTATTTGTTCCAAGCAATTTTATCAGGACAGGACCAGCTATCGAAACAGTCGGGGCACTGGTTGAGTTGGAATGGTTGAACCATACAATTTCACCAGGTCAGACCAGTAAAATTTAAAAATAACATATAAAAAATATATAATATAAAATATAAATAATTTGAGAAAATTAAAAAATCTTAAAAACATAGAAAATTATTAGGAACGATAAAAAACTTATAAATTCATAACTAGACAGTATTAGAACCCAAAGTTATGAAATAACAAAATGTATCACACAAAGCACACCACTGGGGCAGCAATTCTATAAGCAATAATCAATTACACAATGAATTTGAGGGGTATAACCTATAAAGTAAATCAATAAAGTCCAAAAGTTAATCCCATAACATCCACAAAATTAAAGAGCCCCACAATCCCAGTCTCATCGTACAAGGAGGCTAAGACATAAACCACAAAGGCATAAAGCACACAAGCAATCCAAGATTCCAAATTCCACGGTTAGTTACATAATAAATGGAAGTTTATCTTCATCTTCATCTCCATTCCTTCTTCTTCCTCATTTTCACCTTCCTGATAATCATCATTGATCACCACTCCACTTTAACCCTCTAAATCATCATTTCCACCACCTATGAGAAAGATTTTTATTTACTAAGGTATTATTTAGTATTTACTAACAAAATATAGGAGCTTAAGATCATGATTCTTGAAATATCCAGATTTCCACATCAAGTACGTAAAGCTTAAAAGCGAAGACTTAAAAATTCATCTCAATGTGGTGGTTCCATCCCCATCCAATTATCTGATTGCTCTTCCATGCCTTTGTGAAGTGGATGCACTTTCTTGACTAACCATTTTTCAACAATATCAACCTCTTCTAGGTCAATTGGATCCGAGCAAGTGGGATTTAGATAGTACTTCATTTCATATTATTCCACTAGACAATTATACCACAGAGCAACAGTAGACGAGCATATTATTATAATTCATTGCCAACTTGTTATCAGCTTTACCATAACCTCAAATTATATTGACCAAGTTGTTGAGCCCCATATACTCCAACCTAAACTATTTGAATAGATGCATTGGAACACGGTTCAATTCCTCTCACAACCACTTGAATCCACCCCAAATCATACCTATCATTCAGCTGAAATTAGATAATACAGAAATAGCATGAGAGATTGTAATTTGAACCTCTTCCAAGAATTGAACCTTTTCATCAAATAATATAACCTTTCCCAAAAATTCTTGTTGTGTCAATGCTCTTTTTTCTATTGGCTTTCTCTCGTTTTTTGGCTATCAATATATGCCCTAATCTCTCTTCTAATTTCTTCGATTGCTTTAAGTAATGCCCTTACATTCCCTATAATACTGGCAAGATATTCCTTTTATTAAAAAATACCCCTGGCATAAGTTTTCCCACAAAGCGTACAAAAACCACTACTTCGACCCTTAGGTCCTTGAGTTTGGAATATATCCGTGTCGAATATTTGTTCCTTGAAGAAGATGAACACTTGCCAAAAAAAAAAATGTAATTAGGCAACGAAACTTACCCAAAAAATTAATCTCATTTCTGATATCAAACCCAAAATTGAAAGAAAAATTTTAATTTCTAGGTTTTATTCTCCTCGCACCTTGAAACTACGCAATGGCCGGTCATGCCATTCCCAAGCCCTGAGAAAGGAGGAGGGTTGTTTAGGTTGGCAGCCAGCATAAAGCTTTTGCCACATCTATCTCACCAAACCTGAACCAACGAGATATGCCCATGCTAGGGTGTTCCCTATAAGCGACGCACTGTACCACCACCTGGATGCAATGAGAAATTAGCAAGGTTTATCTAGGGCATTCCCTAGAAGCGACACGAAACAATGAAGCCCTGTTATGGTGATATAAAAGCAAGGGTTCCGGTGCAAGTTTGGACAATCGCGGGTAAAGAAGCTAGCCCAAGAGAATAGGATTCATCTAGCCACATGGAATGTAGGAACTCTAACAAGTAAGAGTGTGGAGTTAGTGGATACAACGAGACGAAGGAGAGTTAACATAGATTGTTTACAGCAAAACAAAGTCAAAGAAAATTGATGAATATAAACTTTAGCATATAAGAAAGGATAACAATAAAAATACGATGTAGTTATAATAGTAAACGAAGATTTCAAGGATAAAGTAGTAGGTGTTAAGAGAGTAGGTGATAGGCTCCTATTAATTGAACTTGTTTCAGTGCATATGTGCCACAAGAAGCACTAGAGGATGGAATCGAAAGACAATTCTAGGAGGTCAAGGATGCACTACTCCAAGGAATACCAAATGAAGAGAGGAAGTTTCTAAGAGGGGACAATGGTCATGCAGGAAGTAAAAGATATGAAATAGAAGATTTGGGGAAAGAAATGAGATGGCTGACGTGATTCTTGATTTTGCTATGGCTCACGACCTAGTAATAGCAAACACTTACATAAAAAAGCAAAATGAACATTAATTATTCATAAAAGTGGAACATATAAAAATCAAATAAACTTCTCTCTATTTCAGAAAGCAGATCGGCCATCATGTAAAAACTTTAAGGCATCCCAAGAGAGAGATATTGACCACACAACATAGGTTCATTGTTATGGATGTTTGCATAAGAGATGAAAGGGGAGTGAAATTAATACGTGCCCAAGAATTAGGAGACGGAATTTAAAAAGGCAAAAATTAGTTATATAGGAATAAATTGATAAAAGAAGGAAGATAGAATTCTGAGAACGCAATTAATATTATATAGAATGAGATGGCTGATTGTGTTAAGAAAATGGTAAAAGAGGGAATCTTGAGGGAAATGACGTTCGGATAAGGAAATAAAAATGAGAAAGGGGAAGCGCAGGGATCTAGATCATATTAAATTCATTAAGAGTCAGAATCAGAGGGTCTTGGTGAAGGATGACATTAATGAAAGTTTGGATTTTTTATTTTCAAAAATTGCTAAACAACGACCACTAGGAAAGCACAATGTTAGGAGGAACCTTTAACATAAATGAGGTCGAAGGCCATAGATACATTAGTAGAATTAGAATATTTAAAGTGAAAGAAGCTTTAAGAAAGACAAAGATAGGAAAAGCTTTACTACCAAATAGTATCCCAATAGAGGTTTGAAACTACTTCAAAGAGATTTGCATATCGTGGTTGACCAAATCATTTTACAAGATTTTGAGAACAAAATAAATGTTGGATGAATGGAGAAATAGTATTGTGGTACCTATCTAAAAAAACAAAAGAGACATACAAAATTGTTACAAACTATCGAGGGATTAAACTTATGAGCCACACTATGAAACTGTGATAGAGAGTGATTGAGTAACGATTACAACATGAAACAAGTGTATCAAAAAAATAATTCGATTTTATAGCAGGGACGTCAGCAATTGAGGCTATTTTCCCATTTAGGCAACTGATGGAGAAGTTACAGAGAAGAGAAAAGATATTCACTTGGTCTTTATTGATTTAGAGAAAGCATACGATAGGTTCACTAGAGAATTAATTTGGTGGTGTTGGAAACAAAAGGAGACTCAAGAGGATATATGGACATGGTGAGATTATGCGACAAAATGTTAGGTGGTCAAGAAATAACATATCTATAGAATAAGTTTAGTTGAGATGAGGATATTGAGATGAATGAGTAGTAAGACAAAAAAAGATGGAATTTAGAATATATACATCAAGGAGAACTTAGGGGTGGCTCCAATAAATGATAAGATGAGGGAAAGTAGACTTAAGTGGTCTGGCCATGTCCAATGTCGACCTAGAACAGCACCAATTAAAAGGGGCGATTTGGTGCAAGTGGAAGACTCTAAAAGGCAAAGGGAAGGCCCAAAAGGACATAGAATGAAGTAGTGAGAAGACATGAAGTAATGAGAAGAGATATGATGACCTATGGTCTGACTGAGTGTATGCCCATTGACGGAGCAAAATGGCATAACATAACCCGTATAGCCGACCCCAAAATAGTTGGGATAAGCGTTAATCCTCAGACGATGATAATTCCCCTTGCCCCTTGCCTCAAGTACTTGGCAGACTTCACCTGAAATCCTTCAAAATAATGCACAAACTAAACTCGAACTTCTGCCAAAGAATCTCCAAATTTACTGAAATAATCTATTTCAAGAAAAAGTGTTCCTAATTTTTCCACCCACAGCAGTGACCTACAGAAGCAGAGGAATAATGTTGCACTATGCACCCACATATACAGGTGATAGACAACATTTTCAAGCACATCACGTTAGCAGGTATCTATGGGTATACGCATTGCGGCCAAGGGTGCATTCGCTTTGATGTGATTGCATAAAGCATTATGCTACTGCATCTGATAAGTGATTTCTATGATGAGGAAAATGGTGGCTCATGGATTCACAGCCAATAGCGTAGCTCTACCCACTTCATGTGCACCATAACCCATTAGGGCCAGTGTGAATCCATAAAAGATGGGTTCATTTACCCCTTCCGTGCCTATGCACATGTTATATGAAGATTTTGAAGAATTTTTAGTTTGCACCTGAGACGCTTCGGCAAAACAATCCATGTCTAACGTGTAACATCCTACATGCCACAATCAGGTAGCATAAATTGGTTCATCTAAGTGTCACATACTTGTGGTTAATGTTGGAATCTCCAGTGTTTGTGTCACTTATGAGCTACAAGACACTCTGTAGAACATAAGGGTTCTTTATTCAGCTAGAGGGACTAATTTGCAATTTATATATTTTTCAAAATTGATTTCCATACTGGCATGCAATGTCAATGTATGCAAACAAGCACATAGAACACAACCATATGCATGTACAAACAGCAATAACATCTCATATTGGTAGGATACACAATCCAAAAGGGAAAATGGCAAATTATACCGTATGCTAGAAGGCATCCAATCAAACACTCAATAATCAAAACAGAAAGGAACCGTAACGTTGAAGCCAGGATCCCCTAGGTAAAAATTGCCCCAGTTAAAAATCAACGTAAAGATGCCATGGTAGTAATTCAATTTAGAAACACTTTTAGGAGACTATTTCATCAATGACCGCACAAGAATGCAGAAGCACAAAACGTAAAAGCTTCACTTAATCTTGACATGGAATTCATTCATGTGATATTAAAATGCCATCTCATCTTGCAATCCAAGGATAAAACCAAGAAAAGTCTAATATCATCTACAGTTAGCATGACAAGATGCATATCAGATTTTGTGATATTCTTATACCCAACTACAGAAAATGCTTATGATCTCTCACAAATGAAGTCCTATGATCTACCTGCCCAATCCAACCAGCTAGCTCTTCAGGGTTTGCAACTGTTGCAGAAAGGCATATAAGCTGAACCTCTTTCGGGCAATAAATCACCTGAACATTTGCCCATTGTTAACAGCTCAATACGAGCTGCAAAAATTTTGATGACTGCCACAAAACAAGTCTATCTAGAATAACAAAAATTGTGGAGAACATACTATCTCCTCCCAAACAGTGCCACGAGAAATGTCACTAAGATAGTGCACTTCATCCAACACAATCACATCAACTTGGAATAATCTACTTCCCTCCGCGATCATGCCAACACTGCAAGAACAGAACAGCTATAAGCCCATTCCCCAATCATATGGTAATAGAGAAAAATGATTAGGTCAAAAACCTTACGCTCGGTGAGCATAAGAGAATAACAAACAGAGCAACAACTAACCATTTGATAATATACCAAAACAAATCTATATATTAAAAATAACAAGCCAGCACTGGCTATTTTACCAATTAATATAAGGAACATTTTCACTAGAAACATGATGAGAAATTCAAGTTCTAAACCAAGGTAGTAGTTAACAACTGTTTTTTTAAATGAAAAGATGCCAACAAGGCCAATTACTCATGGTTAGAAGCATTAACTGAACAATTTGTAATCTCAGACAAGAATACAGATAATAAGTACAAATTTCATTTATGTTCATTAACAACATACTGAAAACTATTAAATTTATCCAATATGGAGCAGAAACAATTAACAAGGCAGCTACATATTCTAAATGCATTTTATCAATCAAGTGTAAGATGCTAAGAGAAAGACTGAAAATATTATTATAACGAAACAAATACTCCATGATTGAGAGAATACTTATCAACTTCTTTTCAAAGTCGATGGCATATTAAGTTCGATCAAGAAAATAACAAATAAAAGAAATATACAAAGATTAGATCAGTGTCTGGTTGTGAAAGAATAATCGAAGAAAATGTTAGATAGACACATATACTAAGAAGCACTCCCCATTTACCAAGTTATCACCCATGTCATCATCCACTTCCTTGTGAATATTGAGCACCTAACACAATAGAGCTATGCTTTCCATGAGAAAACTAGACAGACTTGGCAACAAGCACACAATGAAGAAGCAAAGAAACACTTGAATAGGATGGCTAATGTACCCAGAATCACAGAATTTGAGGCAGAAAACGGTAAAAGTAATGGAAGCCACCAAACCCCACTGTCCAAAGGATTCATTTGGAGCTTGCATGCTCACAGGCATGCACTTTGGTGGATGTTCGTTAAAGACAAATGACATGGGATTTCAACTACAGAACGTCAAACCAAATTCATCATTCCGAGACATTTTCTGTTCTATCGAATGGATGAGTCTACTATAGTCCAGGACAAGTTTCAAGAGCTGACAACTATGATAACCTGTTGAGATGAACATCCAAACCTTACCTAGTTAAGAATTCCAAACATTCTTGCCGACTCACAACAAAATGGCCAGGAAAAGACAGATCTCCTCGTGCTCCACCACTTCATCGGAATAGACCGTGGTTCAGCAGACTCCACATCCAACGAAAATACTCCATAGGCAAAGAACAAATTCAATAATTAATCATAACCTCCATAAGAAACTATGAAACCTTAAAGGATCTCGTAGGATTCCACTACAAACAGAACTTGCCACATTTTGGAAGCTTAACCTTAAATGGATATGGTCTCCAAAAGAGATAGACACTTTCCACTTAACCTTAGCAGAAAAAAAGGAAGCCATAACAAATACAAATGCTTATAAGCCAGAATATAGCCTCAACACCTTAAGGCCTGTTTGGATCATGTAGAAGTCACTGGTACAGTGGCTTTATATGTCAAGGCCTTACTTTTCAGTCTTTAGTGTGGAATCCGAGGCCCAGCTGATAGATGAAACCTGATACATTGGGGATGGGAGTAAATTTTCAAAACATTGTTTTTCCCACCTCCAATAAGGCAGCCTGGCGTGAGAATTTATACGCCACATCCAAACTGGCTGTTATAAGAGTGCATCAACCACATAATACAGGAAGCAACGTCAGGACACCAAACCATGTCCACAAGTAAATCAACCTCCATCACAACAAATAGCGCAACCTCAACATAGCTAGCTATAAAATAGTTTAATCTTCCTTCTAAATACACAAAATTTAAATTGTTCCACAAGAAGGTAGCAAACTCTTGTTTTATGAAAATAAGGTCATTGTGTCATGTATTGGTTTTAGGTGTCAAAACTTCACTCCCTCACTTAAAACATATTGAGTGAAGGCGACCATGTGAGCCAAGTGGAGAGATAGAGGCAATGTTCCAAAAAATGCCAGGTGGTGCCTAGCTGGGTAGGGAGGGTCAGGCCGCCTAGCGCCTTGGCAGCCTCCCAAGTTTCTGGGTGGCCCAGGTGGAAGAACAGGGGTAGGAGGTGTGATCCAACTGTTTTAGGCCCAAATTCTATGTAAAAAATGCATATTAAGGCATAACACATTAAGAATGCATAACACATAGTCCATCCATAGTCCATATACTCCATACCATTAGTCCACACTCCAACCACAACAAAAACTGCATATTGGGGTCCAAAGTATTTGAGATTTGGACAATTTGTTAATAGCACATTAAGAAAATAGGAAAATATAATCCAACATTCAAATGTAATACTAGACATAACACATAGTTCATAGTCCATAAACCCCATACCCCCGAGAGATCCTACAGAAATGCAAAAATGTGGTTTTTTTATAGTTTCTTTCAATCTAAAAGGTTAAAAAGGGGTTTAGGTCAAATAACCTCGCACCCCCCCCCCCCTCTCCCCCCTCTTATTTGGGGGGAAAGTGAAAGGAGTGGCTATATGGAACTCAAGGTATTAAAATAAAATAAAAAAAATTTCTTTTATTCAATATACCTGAATTCCACTTATATAGGACACTATACACTAAAAAATAATAAAATCCACCACGAAAACTTGCTATATGTTGCTTGGAGTTACCCTCACATGTCTTACACCCCACACCCCATTCCTTGACTGATGGCGCACTTTTTGTCCCTTTTGATGGAATTTCAGATATAGGAAGTTTTCATAGGTAATATCTCTTAGTCTAGGGTTTTAGAGAGCATCGAAACCTAAATGGGTTTGTAGAAACCCTTAGGAACAAATTAGGGCTGGCCATGAAGGCATAGAATCCTCCTATGACTGGGCATACCCCTTTTTCTTCTCCAAACAGCAAAAGCAAAACCCTAATTAGGGTTTCAAAGTGCCACCTTTGTCTCATCAAATTGGGGGTATGACCTTTTTAGGAGAGAGAAAAATAATTTTTTAATGAAAGAGGTAGAGAGACTTGGTGCATGAAGGAGAGAGAAATATGTGTTTTGAGAGAGAGGGGCTCAATGGTGTTTAAATAAAAAGAATTCCTTCTATTTGGATTAGAATTCCTTCCTTAGGTATTGTCTATTCAATGCCACAGCTTGACCAATACGAACTTAGGAAATCTGTGGGTGTGAGAGAACAAATCCCACAAATCAGCCATCATGATTTTGGGTGGATTATTAGGAACATTATCCCCTTATAATTTGACCCAAGTCCAACTTCTATTTAAATTAAAATTAAGACCAATCCAAAACTTCCTAATATCTTTCCAAAATCTGTGGGAAGTTAAAATAATTAGAGTTTTGGTCAAACCAAACTCCTAATTAAAAAAAATCTTTTAATATTTAAAATATTGCCCTAAAATAACCTTTAACAAAAAAGCGATGTCACATAAATAAAAGAAGGAAAAAGTTTTTAAAAGTGCGAGGATCTAAACAATCAAATTAGGGCACATCTCAAAATTTTCACTAGAGAGGTTGCCTTGATGCCCAAATATCCTTAAATTGATCATCTTGACCTCAAGACGCATGGAAATGAGAAAAAAATGGATTTCAAGTTTTGGAAATAGTGCATCTTGTAATGCATTTTTGGATCATCAATTTTCAAGATTTTCAAGTTTTCATAGATCTACTCGATCTACATTATTTTTTAAGTTTTAAATTTTATAATTAGAGATGAAAATATATTTTAAGGCTATCACAAAGATTTGTAGTATTGAAACCACATTTCTCGACACTATTTGTACGTGCGCTTTACTTTGATTGTTCAGAGCCTCAGCTTTATACAAACGACACCCATAAAAGAAAGAGGGTGCGTCACCCAAGAGAGATAAAGTGGTCCCCACAATGGCCCACGTCCCACCCATTGGTGGCACATGTGGGGCTGGATCCTGGGCCCCACATAAGCCCTTCCAAATTCCATAAATTATGAAAATGCCCTTTCGAAGGATTTTACAGCAGAAATAAATTTCTAAAATTCTGAAAAATTTGCAAAACAATCATAAAGGCATTTCTAACACTAAAATAAAATATTTTAGAAGTGAACTAGTACCGATGGGTCAAAATTAGTGACAATAAGGGCATTCCACTTGACCCAAGAACTATGATCCACTATTGTTTTCTCGTCCAACCCAACAACGACCTATGACCCACAGTCTTGATGCAAGGGTTTATGATTTGGCTTGTCACAGTTGGACAATAAACAATGAAACCATGATCATGGAATGTGGTTTTGAGTTTCCCCCTTTTAATAGCAAGTCCAACACTTGTCACTACAGTGCAAAAGGGGCTCTCTCTATGCACATGTACACGTGTCCCTCTATAAGACTGCTTCCCAGTAATGCGGTTGTCATGTGTACATGCTGTGCGGAAGTTTGTTGAGAATTTGGCCCTTTATCTCATAGGCCTTTATCTCATAGGCCTAACAACCACACATAGAAGATCATATAGTTCTCCTAGCCTACAAATATCATCCCTATGGGGCGATTCGACACACAAGGGATACATGTTGGGATATGATTGGATGCCCTAGACGTAACTTTTCTCAAGCAAATTTAGGAACAATTAGTGAAGGAGTTTTTCCTGCTAAGCATGGGCAGCAAGATGCTACTTCCTTTAAAACTAAAGAACAGTTAGTTACTATTTCTAAAAGCGAGCTCCTCGATCTCAAGCAACAAGCTTCTACTCGACACCCTTCTAGACCTCTTTAATTTGAAAATAAGACCCATTAAATTTTCGTATAGAACCCTAATTCTTCGTATTATTTCATGGTAGAGCCTCCTTCTGTTTTTTGAAAATCCTTCTATTTTTCTTTCAAACGGCAGAAGAACACCCCTAAAGATTTCACAATACCCCCTCATCTCTTATCTCCATTTTTTATTGATTTTTTATCATAAAAATTAGCCCCAACAAATCTTTCTATACCACTTTAACCCAAAAACGTTTTTAATAGGTGAAAAGGGAAAAAGAGGGTTAAAAACGTTTGTGGGATGACATGGTATAAAAAGATTTGTTGGGGCTAATTTTTATGGTCAAAAGTCAATAAAAGAGGGAGATGAGAGATGAGAGGTACGGTGAAATCCTTGGAGATTTTCTTATGCCACTTGAAAGAAAAACGGAAAGAGGGTCTACCATGAAATAATATGAGAAATTAGGGTTCTATACGAAACTTTCCCTTGAAAAATTTCTTCCTTCGTTCCCTCTCTTACTAGCCTCCATTATCTTACTTTACTTTTCTCCATTTCTCCTCTTTACTATTCCTGAAATTATTTTCGATTGTAACAATAGGTAAGCCCAATTTCTCTTCGCAAGCCAGCTGTAGTTGCAGAGTGTACCAGCAATTTTCAGTCATGAAAGGCCTACTAGACCATTCTATAAGTTTCAATAGGCACCAATCTGAAAAAAATGAGAGGCTTCGATTTCTTTTTCGTAGTCCAATGGCGGCACTATATAAAGTTAATCCTTCTTTCTCCGTTATGCCACTCCATAAGCAAGGAGCTCCATGCACAAGCAGAGCAAAAGCAAGACAAGGGGAATTCCTATATTGATGGAAGTATCCCATGCAAAATCCTTGAATTCTGTACTTCATATTTTGACCCTAGTTTAGTTCGTAGGAGCTGAACAGGAATGTAGGTTCTAATTTATCACTTTTTGGCACTTAATTAACCAGTTATAAGGCAACACTATACTATGATCAACAGGCTACTTGAGTTCCAAAGGGAAATATTTGGTTGACCAACACAATAAGGTTGATTTTGGAAACTAGTAGGCATTTATCCTAAGTTAGTCTGATATTTCCAACAGCCTTTGCTCTTAGGAGTAGTCCAATAGTAGGGTGAATGGCATTCTGTTGGACAACTCCAGCATGGACCCCTGGCCACCTAAGTGGCGCCTTACAAATTTTAAACACAGTGTAGAAAAGCATAAGAACTTGTGTCATAGCTGCATTGACAGCATATTTATGCACCATTGATGCCAAGCATTCATTTAAACTGACTTTTCCTTATAAAGTTAAAGGCTCCATTGCATTTCATCTCTCCCTTCTTCACCTTGCTTCATCTCCTTCTCCTCTGAACTGGTACAAAACTAGACTCAAGGAGCGCTTAGAAGGTTTGCTCTATGAAACCTGGATTAAAAGGATTTTTAGTGAAAGAAAGGGTTTTTTGTGAAAGAACGTGGTCAATCCAGCAAACTTAGGGTATGTCGTCAAATCATAGCCCATTGATCAGTTATGGGTGGAACTTTTGGTTATGAAGTATTTTTCATGATTATATGAAATTTTTCTCAAGCATTTCGTTGTTTCAGACCCTTCTCATTTGTGCTAGACCGCACAACCTGGTGTATGTGCTTCATCATTTCAAACACATTCCGAAACATTTTATTGCTTGGGTTAGCTATGGCCTATCGTCCACCACCTTTCTATAATTTTCTACCCCATGTTATTGAGTGCATTGAGAGTAGCATTGAATTCCACGGATTCTGTGAGAAACTTCTTTTTGAGAAAGTTAACTTCAATGACAAACTTCTCTGCGCTACTATTTCATGGTTTTCCATATATAGCATTGTCTAAAAATCAGTGATCCAGATCGGAACCAGCCGATCCAGATCAAGAATCGGTCGGGCCAATCTAGATCCCGTAAAATATCGAGAACCAGCTGGTTCTGAATCAACCTGTCCCCATTGGTTCTAGACCAGCCCGTCTTTTTTTTATTTTTAAACTTTTTAAACTTTTTAATGACCGGAACCAGCCAGCTCGTGCCGATTCTAGCTGATTCTTTGACAGAACCGGCCCCATAATTTTGTATAGTCACTTGCATATCCTTGTTTGATAAATCACAGATGAAAAAGCAAATGATGTAAAACGATAGTCACTTGCATATCCAATGAGGAAACTCTCAGTTTGATAACAGGATTTCAAGAACATACGAGAATATACCAAAAAAATAAGTGATTGCATGAGTATGAATGTTCATCATTCAAAAAGAGAACAGCTCTCTCAATGAGAGACATCAACTAGAGAACAAGAGACAACACAAAAGGCACCAAGTGAGCAATTCCACACATATTACACATGTGGAGGAAGGAAATATAACGGTGTTGGATCTGGCATTCAAGTGAGGTTTAGAGTGGGTGGGAACTAGAGAGCAATCAATGGAAAATATAACAAAATTTGACCATATGCCACATCTTCGCCAAGTACACACACCAATCAGCAAATCATAACGAATTGAGCATGGAGTCAAAATTGCACGTAGCGTGCTTTTATGTTTACGAGCCAAAATTCTAGCACACGAAAGTCGAAGTATATACTTTATTCGACACGGTCTTTTTGTAGGATCTGCTGTGATATCAATAGATATTTCCAATAAGATTACGGATAAAAAAAATCCAAATAATTGGTATGTATGTGGCCTAGTTGTACTTTTAACTGACATAAGGAATCTAGCGGTTATGTACAATTAAAGAGATGTCAAATGACAACATATCGCTTTGGGTTCATAAGCAGAATAAAGAACAACCTGAGTTCAAGGGAAAATACAAACAATAAATATCATCATCATCATCATCATCAGTGCCTTACCTCCAACTATTTGGAGTCAGCTACACGAATCTTATTCTATCATTCTGCTCTATCAAGTTTATCCTTTTAGAGCCTTGCATTTGAACCAAATCGCCCCTTCTAAGGGGTGTTGTATAAACCTACACATGGCCAGCCCACCTAAGTCTAGTTTCCCTTGTCTTATTGCCTATTAGAGCCATCCCTAAGCTCCCTCGGATGTTTTCATTATGAATTTTATCCTTTCTTGTCTTGTCACTCATCCATTTCAACATCTTCATCTCAGCTACACTCATAATATGGACATGTTGCTTCTTAATCACCCAATATTTCGTCCCATAAAGTATGCTTAGTCTCATGACCAAACCAGAGAACTTCCCCTTCAATTTGATTGATATACGGCGATCACATAAAACTCGAGATGTACATCTTTACTTCACCCACCCAGCTCTAATTCTATGTACGACATCTTCTTCAATCTCTCCATTCTGCTAGATTATCAATCCAAGATATCGAAAATAATCTCTTTTAGGTATTTCTTGGCCATCAATCTCAAATACTTCCTTGTTTCTACTCCTACTATTACTAAGCTTGCATTCCGTTATTTTGTCTTAGTCCTGCTAATTCTAAAACTGCTAATACAATCAATAAATATTAAAAAAATAAACCAAATATTTTTGTTCTAATGAGCCTGAACTCGACAAGCTGGATTGGGACATAAAGCCAAAGATGTTAAGGAGACCCTAGATCATGGTGAAATTGTCTTGTAGTTCAATAGACAATGATACATTTTTTTACACAATAAGAAGTTTAGGATAATCTAAAAGTGATATTCATTGTTAAACCATTATCAATGTTATATAGATATTCATGATGAACAGTTGCTTATCCATGAAATAGTGAATAATCCATATTACATATGCAGCATTCTTCACTAAACATGCATAGAAGATTATGCCAAACCTTCACAACAGACTCAGTTCACTCCAGAAACCTCAGAAAACGTAACTCATAGTTCAACCGAGGAATAGCAAACATCATTTCGTTTCTGATGATACCTTTGGTATAACATATTGCGAAGAATCTCTGTAGTCATAATTAAAATTTGAGAATCTTTATTTATTACAGAATCACCAGTGAGAAGGCCAACACTGCTTTCACCAAATGTTTCCCTGATCATAGATAGAACATCAAAATAAGTATATTAGTTTGTAGAAACTTGCATAAAAATATTTCTCAAGATATTACCATAGAAAATATTTCATATGAATTTCAGAATATCATTGAAGAAGCAACCTAATGTATATAAGATACTTTCCTCATAAACAAGGATTGCTAAAATTACATCATACCGGAACTCTCGGAATTTTTGGTTCGATAGAGCTTTCAAAGGAGTAGTGTACAACAGCCGCCTTCCCTTTGTTACAGTAGCAGTTGCTGCAGCTTCTGCTATCAAAGTCTTTCCACTACTTGTTGGTGCAGATACTACAACTGAAGAGCCCCTCAAGAATGCTTGAATAGCTAAGCACTTAACCAATACAAAGAAAACTAATGTCAAATTTAGGCTTGGAATACCAAATTGCATTGTATATTCATGAATTGTCCCACGACATAATTGTCCCATGACATAATTAAATAGGATACCAACAAGCACAACTTGCACAAAGTATGTGCGTGTGATGTCAAAAATGGCACTCACTACTGTAGTTGTAAAAACCAGCAAATTCTTTGAAATTTCTAGAGAAAGCTTCAATACAAATAAAACATTCAGTACATACACTAGGTTAACAGGAATGCAGCAATCATTTGAGTGACCCTGATCCAGAGTTGGCATAGAATAATTTGTGGACAAGTAGTTCCCATGTATTGGCCACATGAAGAATTACTTGCTGGACTGAAATGCTACCCATACACTAGGTTCTACAACTAAGCACATAGGCATAGTTATCTTAGAAAACACAACTTTGGAATTTCACTAAAATATTTGAAACTCTGATGCAGGAAAATAGAGAAAAGAGGCAAAAGCAGTTCAATAAACCATCAAAACAGGCCAGATTTTAGTGGATCTGGCTTTTCTTGCACAAAAAAGTGATCCCAAACCCCTTAGGACTTGTTACTATTCACAGCCTGTTTTTACTGTTCGTGCCTAGAAAGTGTTAGAAACCCCCAACACCCCAAGCCCTTTTATTACATTGTAATAAAAAAGACTAAAACTACCCCCACTTAAAGCATTATAAAAACCCCCCCATAAGTTGGCTATCATAGAAAGTAGGGCTTCCGGGACATGTAAGGGTTGCAGCAATGGGCTGTGAAATCCCGCCAAGCCCTAAATAGGCAGGTCCGGGCCACCAAATTTGGCTGAGGGCCGAGCCGAAGCCTACAATCTATGCTTGGTGTTCGGGTCAAGCCGAAGGCCTGCGCCGGGGGTCCATGGCCCTAAACCATTAACAAGACCAGGACAGGTCTAGATAAGGCCTCTATGGTCTAGGCCCAGGCTTGGGCCAACCCGTGATCAGCCTAGGCTCGGCCGGTTGCCACCCTACAGGAAGGAGACCAAACTGGTTGCAGTTGCACACTTACAGCTTTTCTTTCCATAGTTTGAACTTTTTTCATAGTTTGAATCCAACCAACCATGGATGTTGAGCTCAGACCACTATTGGAGGAATAATCGGTGCAGACCTTTGTCTTCAAGACAAGTGAGTTCAAAGCAGAAACATGTGCAACCATTATTGACCACTTCAATGCTCAAAAGAATGGGGGCATGGTCTGATGGGTTTTGGGAGGGTTTGGATGTGGATATCTTGCAAATTTATTTTCCAAGACGGGTGAGACCAGGAATTTATGGAGCTTTGTCAGAATTGGGTTCTCCAAATGACTTGACCAAGTAAACAAAGCACCGTTGAGAGGGATGCCGATGAGATGCTTGCTGAATATCATTGTTTAAAAACCCGGATCAATCGGGTGTATCAAACATCCAATAAACCGGTCTAGATCAACGAATCGCCAATCGGAATCGGCGATCCAACTGAGAGAATTGGCCAATAAAAAAATTTTAAACAAATATTAAAAATGAAAAGTAATAAATCCTCAACCAAATAGCCCGATTCCCTAACAGAACCAAACCGGTTGATTCTATCTAAAGAATTAGCCAATTCCCAATACCATCAAAGAATCAGGATGTCACCTAATGATTCCCAGGTCAGACCAAGCGATTCCAATCCAACCCTACAAGTTTCATAACTATGAATTCTGAAGGCTAGTTAAGAGACTTGTGATTCAGACCCTATGACCATCTTATGTAAATTTAAATCACCTCCAAAACACCATTGGAGGGGGGTTTAGGGAGCGTACATGGCTTCAACCCAAAACTGATCTCTACATTTGGTCTGTCGACCTATAGACTGCCATAAAGATTATCTACTATCATTAAAGTCTGAAGAAGGTGATGGAGAAAGAGAATTGCCTGGAATACATAAGGATCTGGCTAGGATATTTGGATCCCAAACAATCCAAATGCCACCTGAGGCAATGGACTCCCACGTGCTTGGTCTTCTACCCATAGTTACCCAAAGCAATTCGGACACCGAATCAATAAGTAATCAAAATCGAGAAATCACCATTGGCTAGAAGATTCATGTTTTTGAGATCGACATCCATACAAGAGGAATCGTGGGGGACGTGATTCCTATTTTTGGGATCAAGATTCGACTAAAATAGAATTGAAATCCCTACATAGATGGAAACAAAATTCCCAGCTCTTTGGAATCAATTTTTTTAACTAGTTGGAATAGTTCAATATAGAATCGAGATTCATTCTTTTATGAATCGAGATTCCGACATCTTTGGAATTGAGAGGGAACTGAGAGAAAAACAATGTCTCAATGCCATCAATTGACCGACCTGCTATACATGAATATTTTCACTATTTGTATTACATTATATTTGACATCTTGGAGTTGCAATCTCTTAGTGCATACTTAAAGAATAAAGTAGAGAATGCGGACCACCACTTTGGTTTCTATTGGTCAATTCATGCAAAAAAATATGACTACACCTTGTAGCTTGAGATTGAGTGTCTAGCTCGAGTAGTTTGATGGCTTGAAATCTTATAAACGTCAAAGTCGTAGAATTCCGGTAAATATGAAAACTAGTTTCAACAAGTGTAGAATCGATATTCACCAATTGTGGTATCGAGAATCAGTAAATATTGGAAATGAGATTCTATAAGTGCTGGAAAACATATTCCAAAATAAGGAATTGAGATTCTAGACTTCACATAAACGGCTTCTGTGAAGATTCCTAGTCAAAATCACCGAATTGGGGCTCCGAATCGAAACCGCGACCTTCGATGAGAGATTCAAGTAACAATGCTTCTACCTCAAATGGAGCATATAAGGTTTAGGTTCAAAGAATCTAATTTAGCTTTGATTAAGATGAGGATATGGGGATGATATTTGAGGCAATGGTTCAAGAATTATCCCTAGGTAGGTTCACCAATTACCACACATATGTCAGGCCAGAACTTTCATTTGTGGGTAAATGGGGAGCTCGGTAGTATCTTGAGGAGTGCCTTTTAAATTAGAAATGGCGGCTAGGGTTGCAGATTTTGGGCTCAACACCGAAGAAATAGTATTTGGGTCTCTGTACTATTATAGTTGATGCAGCAGGTAAGGTTTTTAAGCTCTCTATATTGTCTGCCACCAGTTTTGGCTTTTCAAATGCATTGTTCATGAACTTGTTGCTAATGTCATCTATAGGTCCATCACAAGCGAAGCCCATAACCTTGAGCATCTACTCGATATCACCTTTCACGTGGTCAAGCCCATGAATCTCCTTTGAGTCCAATGAAAAGGATTTTGAGTCCAAGGTTATGGAATATATTTTGCTTGCGCTAGTCTCATGGCTTGCTCGATTCCATGGTAGGGAGTTCAAGGGTAGTGGGCTCAAATTGTTATGGGAGAATGGGGTGTGATAAGAGTGTTTAAGAAGAGGATGATGGCTCTGTAGGTATTTGTAATCCCAGTCGGTTTGTGGTCATGGCCTTAGCTTTTTTAGTTTGTCGTTGGATGTTGTCAAACTTCTTATAGTTGGGGAGGAGGGTATAGGGTTCATAGGAAGCCTTACTTTGAAAGCAGAACATTCGAGAGGGTTTAATTGAGCTTGGGAACAAGCATATGGTGTAATTGGATTGGGGAAGTGAGGTTTGGAAGTTTGCATTTATTCTATAGCCACCTTGGTATTGGAACTGTTAGGGAGGTGAGGGGGAGTGATTCATGTTATGCTAAGAGGATATTCCATGTGCGCAAAATGGGTCATTCGGCATGGGTGGAAGACCTCTGTTTGGGGATATTGTTTAGGTTGCCATCTTTCATTGCTAGGTTTTGGATGGTGTTTGAATGGTAGTTCAATTGCAATTATGTTTGCCACTATGATAGTACATATGGTTTAAGGTTTGGGGAAGATTAAATGGGTGGTAGACAGTTTTTTCTCAAAGCAAAAGGGGAAGATACAAGAGGGAAACAAAGTGGTAAGAGAGGGAGCGGATAAGGAAGAGGGTAAGGGAAGTTTTTGGTAGGGATGGATGACTGATTTCAAAAAAGGGGGACAGTTGGACAGTGTGGAGTGCCTCAGTAGGAGGCGAGCCGATGCTGGCCACAAATCACAATTGGGGCTAGATACAAGGCTGCACATGCAATAGGCAAGCCGGCAATGTGGAGGCATCTAAGGCCACCATCTCTGGGCAATCCGATGGCTTGGGTTATATCTAATGGTTTTGAGGTTGGAGTTTAGGGGATGGAGGTGTGAAGCATCGTGGCTGTCCACATGCCGTAGAAGTTGAGAGGTGCTGGTTGATTATCGTACCAAGGATGAAAAGGCTGTGGGAAGATTTTTTGCATGGACAATGATAAGGTGCCAAATGGGTGTTGACTCATATTATGGTGCACCAGTGGGCTGTGTGGAGACATTGGAGCCCACCATACATGTGTAATGGGTGATGTGGCCTATATCTGGGGATTGCAAGAATGTGGTAGGGAGCTAGAAATATGGACACATCTTGGCCATCCAAACAAAGGCCAACATCTAAGTTATTGGTTGTTTGATTGGGAAGAGGGGTAAAGGAAGTTGGACCCTTGGCCTAAGATATTTTAAAATGGAAGAAAGTGATGAAGAAGAGTGTGATCTCAGGCGGATCACCGTCAATTGGCTCTCATTTGGATTGGGGCTTGAATTTGGGTTTCAAATGGCATTTGAATTTGAATTTGGGTTTGAAAGAGAATTGAATTTGAACTTGCATTATTTGAATTTGGATTTGGAGGGATTTTAAATTTGACGTTAACATCGTCGAATTTAAATTCAACTCCAATGAAATGACACGGTGTCAAACGGACAGTGGGGATATGGAAAGTATAAGCCCATGAGTGAAGTTGACTTTTGAAATCCTCGTGGTGAAAGGATTGAGATTTGAAGTTTGAAGAGGGGGGAAGATTGGTGGAGGAGATATTTAGTGGTTGACATGGCGTTCTCCCA